ATAACACAAAAACAACTTCGACAATTGGTTAGATAATTTATATATATATATATATATTTTTTTTAATAAAAATAAAATCATTTTATTTTTAGGTTTTATTTTGTCGCCGTGCAATTAATGAAATAAATGATAATGAATTAAAACCACAATTAGATACATATTTACGAGCATTAGTACCATTAGAAGAATGTCTTAAATCACCTCCTACTCCATCTTTACCATCAACTCCACCTATTAATGAACAACAAACAGAACATACTCATCGACATCATCATCATCATCATCATAAAAAAGCAAATGGAGCACGAGGTAAAAAAAACAAAACACAAAGAATTTCATTTTGTTCGAACGATAAAAAATAAAATTTATTTTTCTTTATAGATACATCAAGTCAAAAATCTGAACGTATTGAAAATATACAATTTCCTGAAGAAGTTATTGTTTTTACATTAGAATCTAGTGATAGTGAATGTCCCGGAATGTTATCTGAAGACAAAGTAAATTATTTCAATGTTAATGAAAAATTTTCCAAATAATTATTTTATTAATTTTTTTAGGTTTTACAAGAAAATGAAAGAACAAAATTAATAAAAACATCAAGTACAAATGAATTTGATCAATCAGCTACTGAAAAACGATTACGTTTTCGTTTAAATGATAATTATAGTGTTGGTAATATAAGTGATAATTTAGAAGGTCTTGAAGGTATAAGTGAAGGTGCTGCATCAACAGGCAATTTAAGTGTTACATCATCATGTGATGATCTTGATAAAGCAACAAATGAAATTGAAACTGATCAATTATTTGATAATGCATCAGTTAGTGGAAGAGGTAATAATTAATTTTAATCATATTATTTTGATAAGAAAAATTTCTTTTAATTAAAATTATTTCTCTTCATAATTAAAAAACAAAATCAATTTCTCTCGTTTCTTATTTGTTTTTAGCAACACCAAATTTATCTGGTCGTGATACACCTTCGTCACATATTAGTCTTGATAGTAGTGATCGACGAACAACAAGTACAAATAATGCTCATGTTCATACACAAGATAGTGTTATAAATAGTCAAACAGCAACAACTATAAATACAAATCATAATTCTCTTATGGGATCAGTACAACGTGGACCAGTTTTACCTGTTGTTGTACAAAAACCATTCCGTGAAGATGTACCAGATAAATTTAATTTATTTGATTTGCCACAACAACGACCAACTTTAGAAGCAGGTATTTACATAAATAAAAACAAAGACAAAAACTATTAGCACAAGCTCTGAAGAATTAAAATGTAAAACACGATGTAACTGTTCTTGCTAATCATAGAGAGAGAGAGATTGTTTTATTCTATCTATTTTCAAACACATTTCTTCACCATCCTTTTACTTAAAATTCTCCAGAAATGCAACAAAGAGGTAGTTCATATATTATAACAAGATGTTATTATGATATACATAGACATGTAAGTCAATGCATTGATTGGCGATGGCGGCTACAAAAGTCTTATGCAAGAAGGGTTCCCAGATGATAAACTGCTTTTAAGCTAGAACTATATTCAATGGGTAAGGTCTAGAGAGTAAGAAGATACCCTCGAATGATTCGAATAGCTGGGCCTTTGTTGCTGAGATATCGAATTTTTAGTGGACGTTTCCTGTAGAGCTTCAGTTTTCAAACGAAATCATACTTTTGAGTTTTGATCTGAAACTTTGCCCATATAAAGGTATCAATTAGGCTAACTTGTAGAATTTGTGTCTTTATGTGAATAAAGTTTCAAATCAAAATTCATAACTATAATTTCGTTTGAAAACTGGGGTCCTACAGGAAACATCGACTAAAAATTTGATATCTCAGCAGTAAAGTTCCAGCTGCTCGAATTACTCTAGAATATTTATCTATTCACTAAGCCCTATCGATTGAATATAGTCCCAGCTTAAAAATGATTTATCATTCGACGGCCTTCTCTCGTCAGGCTTCGGAGAGAATCCAAATTGTTACTCTGACACTTTAATACTTCTTTTTGATCGTATTTCATCAAAAGAATGATTTTC